CCGTCCCTGAACACAACCATCAACAGTATAATAAATGTCATCAAAATTATAACCACAATGAATAATTCTAAATGTCGTGTTACATTTCAATGTGTGTGTTTGTAAATGTGATTTAGAATTATAACCAATATCATCCCAAGTATAATACTTATCATATATATAGTCACCACTCATGCTAATGTCTAACAAGTAACTATTCTGAAAAATAAAAATCCTTATTCATGTTTACACAGGGCTATGGAAGTTACATTTACTGTAATTAATATTATGGCTCTTCTATATGAAGTATATCTAAAATGGCAAGTTTAACATGACTAAATCTGTGGCTTGCATGAGCTCTTAAGTGGGTTTTAATGGAGATAAATTCTGCAATTGCGAGTCATTATTTCTCGAATAATATGGTCTGCCTTCAACTGCTGACCAGCATCTGTAATTGTGCAGGAAACATTGAAGTAGGCACCCCTGAGCTGACTGAACTTTGCGAAGTTGATTTGACCGTTTGAGTTTTGCATTTCCTTCTTAGGCCCTTGTAGTTTTCTATGGGCCCTTGTAGCAGCTTTACACATTTTTTTTTCAATTTCAGCACTACGTTTCATCACTAATCAATTGTTTCCGAATATTGCAACGGGTTTTTGGGCAGGTCTTAGTGGCGTTGTTTGCATAATCTTGAAACTGGTCCCAATCTGTCGATTCCTCATTCGTCAGGAGAATGCGTCACCACTGCCCACCTCCACATTACCACCATTCCCACCATCAAAATGAAATCCAAAATGAGCTGGATGATCTTTTGTTGAACTTAGAGAATACTGCTAAGAGATGGGGTTTACGATCATCCCTACAAAAAACAAAGCACCAACCTGGGTATTCTATGTCATCGTATTTTACCCTCCCTCCACTCTCCATGAGTGGTGGGGCAGTTTAGGACAGAGTGGGAATTTTGTCCATACCTGGAAAGGGTGCTTATGACCAGCTCCAGTTTGGCAGCAGAGGTCATGCTCCAAATCAGCGCGTAACACGCTGTGAAAGTTGCATTGCCTGTCGCTCCATGTAAAGCTCTGGGTCTTCTCAGCCAGATATCCCCTCCCTTCTCTGTATTTAATAAAAAAATATCCCTTTTAAAAGAACATCTACACTGGTTTTGCATATTCAAGTGTCTACGATCCAGCGTGGGTCTTACAAACTGGATTGTGTGAGCAGTTTAGATCCTTGAAAGATCTGGACAAATTCCCATCAGTGAGCTTCTAAGGCAGGTGAGGCAGCATTGGCTGGGGCATGTAGCCCAATTTCTCAGTCACTGCGTACCCAAGCAGCTTCTGTTTGGGCAGATATAAGGGGCAAAACGCGATAGAGAAGAGTTTGACTGTTGTGTAACAGAAGGATGTGGAGCTGATTGGACTTGCCGACAGCTCGTACCAGTGGTGTGAAGATCAGCCTCTGGAGGAGTTTTGTGAAGGATGTCCTCCTCCAGCAATAACGGAGGGCGAGTACAGTGCTGGACGAGTAAAATTCAGCAAGTTGGAACAGTAGGGAGCACAGGTGGTAGATCTGCCAGTCATCCCTGTCACTCAACCCATGGCACCTTTATCTATCCTGTAACTTCCTGCCCATGAGCCTTCGACAGTCCACATGACCTCAATGTGCACTTAGCCTGGCACAAGCACTTTGTTGACATCACAATTTTTAGTGAGGTATGGCTGTTATTGTGTATATATACACCCATTCATGTGCCGTATCAGCCTTCTTAGGTGCTCATTAGCAGAACTAATCTCAAATATCTGTCAAAAACTATATATTTTCTCGTTTGTATGTGTATCTTTGTGTACATAGCCTATGTGTGTGTTTGTGGCGAGCCATGCTGCACAACAAACTCGGCCACAGCTATCAATAGCACATGATATCTACACTGGTTTTGGGTCCTCTAGGTTGAGTCTGCATTAAATAAGTGCCTGGTTCAATAAGTAATCAGCAGAACCTATGAGACAAACGTGGCCAGGTATGATCCTGGCCATTTCTACCCCTCTTTGCCATGCCGGCCTTCAAAGGGGCTCAATAACAGGGATGTTTGTGTTGGAGCTCGTGCTGTAGGCGTAGAAGACGCATTGCCGTTGATCCTCTGTAGGGAGCGTGCGTCTGCTGTGTGTAGCGTGGAGCTGCATGAGAGTGAAACCAATGGAGTTGTTGCACCTTGGGCGTGAATATCAATGCATGTCCATTTGCCAGGTGTCAATTTTTAAATAAAATTTGTGGAGATGTGTGCTGTATGGGAGAAAAAGCGACTGAGCCCACGCACTCACCCCCCCATTACAGTATCTCCTCGTACTATTTTACTGCTCAGCAATCATACGTACAACACGTTATTGTATGTCAGGAGGAAGGACAACAAACTAAATGCAAATGCAGTTCTAAAGAGATGAGTTTTCAATCAAGTGCATCACCCCAGTGGCTTCCTAATATCAGAAAGAAGAGAATATCAGATGGCAGAAAAAGCGCATCTGAAAGCGCGCGATGAAAACTGCAGGCCACTGTGTTTTTCCTGCTGCCAAAGAACACAATTTGTCTCGTTACTTGAACAATTTCTAATTTTGCAAAAAATGGGTTAAAATTAATATTGTTTGTTATAGCACATTCTCGTAGAAAGAACGTTGGTTAAGTCAGACTGGCCTGTATATGTACAGTATAGATATTTTGTTTGCAGTAGTGCAATACACACAGCTCAATACACAGTTATACAGTGAGGGAAAAAAGTATTTGATCCCCTGCTGATTTTGTACGTTTGCCCACTGACAAAGAAATGATCAGTCTATAATTTTAATGGTAGGTTTATTTGAACAGTGAGAGACAGAGTAACAACAAAAAAATCCAGAAAACCGCATGTCAAAAATGGTATAAATTTATTTGCATTTTAATGAAGGAATTATGTATTTGACCCCTCTGCAAAACATGACTTAGTACTTGGTGGCAAAACCCCTGTTGGCAATCACAGAGGTCAGACGTTTCTTGTAGTTGGCCACCAGGTTTGCACACATCTCAGGAGAGATTTTGTCCCACTCCTCTTTGCAGATCTTCTCCAAGTCATTAAGGTTTCAAGGCTGACGTTTGGCAACTCGAACCTTCAGCTCCCTCCACAGATGTTCTATGGGATTAAGGTATGGAGACTGGCTAGGCCACTCCAGGACCTTAATGTGCTTCTTCTTAAGCCACTCCTTTGTTGCCTTGGCCGTGTGTTTTGGGTCATTGTCATGCTCGAATACCCATCCACGACCCATTTTCAATGCCCTGGCTAAGTGAAGGAGGTTCTCACCCAAGATTTGATGGTACATGGCCCCGTCCATCGTCCCTTTGATGCGGTGAAGTTGTCCTGTCCCCTTAGCAGAAAAAATCCCCTAAAGCATAATGTTTCCACCTCCATGTTTGACGGTGGGGATGGTGTTCTTGGGGTCATAGGCAGCATTCCTCCTCCTCCTTCAAACACGGCGAGTTGAGTTGATGCCAAAGAGCTCCATTTTGGTCTCATCTGACCCACAACACTTTCACCCAGTTGTCCTCTGAATCATTCAGATGTTCATTGGCAAACTTCAGACGGGCATGTATATGTGCTTTCTTGAGCAGGGGGATCTTGCGGGCGCTGCAGGATTTCAGTCCTTCACGGCGTAGTGTGTTACCAATTGTTTTCTTTGGTGACTATGGTCCCAGCTGCCTTGAGATCATTGACAAGATCCTCCCGTGTAGTTCTGGGCTGATTCCTCACCGTTCTCATGATCATTGCAACTCCACGAGGTGAGATCTTGCATGGAACCCCAGGCCGAGGGAGAATGACAGTTCTTTTGTGTTTCTTCCATTTGCGAATAATCGCACCAACTGTTGTCACCTCACCAAGCTGCTTGGCAATGGTCTTGTAACACATTCCAGCCTTGTTTAGGTCTACAATCTTGTCCCTGACATCCTTGGAGAGCTCTTTCGTCTTAGCCATGGTGGAGAGTTTGGAATGTGATTGATTGATTGCTTGTGTGGACAGGTGTCTTTTATACAGGTAACAAGCTGAGATTAGGAGCACTCCCTTTAAGAGTGTGCTCCCAATCTCAGCTCATTACCTGTATAAAAGACACCTGGGAGCCAGAAATCTTTCTGATTGAGAGGGGGCCAAATACTTATTTCCCTCATTAAAATGCAAATCAATTTATAACATTTTTGACATGTGTTTTTCTGGATTTTGTTGTTGTTATTCTGTCTCTCACTGTTCAAATAAACCTACCATTAAAATTATAGACTGATCATTTCTTTGTCAGTGGGCAAACGTACAAAATCAGCAGGGGATCAAATACTTTTTTCCCTCACTGTATGTATAAATATCTCAAATAAAGAATGGGTCACTTGGGTTTGCGAACATGATGTACAAAACTCGTTATAGTCTCATGCTCTGCATGCTTTTGTAAATGCATGTGGTGCATACTCACTGACAAAATTCTGTTATGGAGAGGCTTCATTATTATTTCTACTAATTTTAAATGTTAAATTAAGGATTTTTTTCATTAATTTCTAACGTAAAACATATCGGGAGGCATTAATCCAGCGGTAGTGACAATGGCTGATGATGATGATGTAACGTGCCGCCCATTTTTAAGGACTCCTAAGAGAGTGTAGGTGGAGATTCAAAGGCATAGGAAGGAGGCTGCACAGACACCTGGACCACTGCTGTCCTGGATAAGTGATTAATTTAACATAATGAACATCACAGTAACATTGACGCTGCCTTATGTGTGTACTTTAAGTTTTGGGTTCCAAACAAAAACACACTACCTCTACAAAGATCATGTTCACTAATTTCCGTGAAGCGTATGTGACGTCATACCACGGATAGACAACCTCAGACCACCCAAGATCAAACCTGGCTCCAACCCTCTGCCGTTCCACCTCCATCCTAATCGTCACTCAACGAGAGGTGACGCTATCCCGATCATTGCACATTATAGCGCAATTCGCCGTCTGCGTGGCATCACGGTGGTCGAGGCAGTGAGCACGTGGTGTCACGCAGCTGCTTAATCTGCTAAACCTGTGTGGTGTTCTGAATTAGGTTTACATTTTACTTTTTTTGTCGTAGTGTTGTGTTCATATAAATGTTCATATGCTTGCACTGAAGAGTGTTTTGAGATGCCTAAGGTGTTTCGATGCTATTTCATATATTTACATATATTAAAATAACAATTTTAAGCTTACATTACAATTTACATAACTCAATGTATTCACAATCAAATACCTAAAGTCACAATTTTACCTAACCAAGACCTTTCCGATTTTAGTAGCAGCATTTTATTTTAATAATTATTCTTATTTCCCGTACATGGCTAAAATTACACGACTATGATTACAGGTTACACGTGGTTTGTTTTCATTTTCTTCAGGTGACTCGATGCATTTGTCGTGATGGCATCAAATGATCCTGCATATGAGATTATTAGAACCAACAAAGTGAAACTGCAGGAATACCTCCAGGCGAAGTCTTCAGAAGTGCTTGACCATTCCTGTCAAACAGGGATAGTCCTGCGCAGTGAATACGCGTCCCTCAGAAGCGAGAATAACCCCATTGCACGAACACGGCACCTGGTTGACCTGGTGCTCGACAAGGGAGAAGAAGTGTGCATGAGATTCATTGAAGCCGTGCTGGTGCCGCTGAGATCCGAGATCCCTCTCTTGGATCAGTGGATATCACAGCATGAGCAGCAGCTCAACGTGATGGGTGTCGATCTGAGCAGAACTGTGGGTAAAGCCATCCCTGGAGCAGCTTTTCGTGAGTGATGCTAAACTTCACATAGCCATTCGCATGTCTTGGGCAAGTTTAGGTGAAGAAATTCCTTTGATCTGAGATGAATTATTATTTAAATTTAGCAAACTGCACCACCCTTGCATGACAACATTCCTCTCAGAAGGAAGACATTTATATTCCATTCCATAGCAGGAAAAGTACAATTGATCAGCAATCGGGAGGATAGGATGGATGGATGGATAATGAAAATGTGTGAAAATATCAAAACCTTACATCCACATTGGACCCCAACATTAATTAATTCGCCATAACCCACAGCTCCATTTCCTAGTAAAAGACTTGAACATGGTGACTTTCTCCCACCTCTTCAGACACAGACACATCGTGTTTGAGTTGGAAGAATGTAATGAGCTATGAAGCTCTCTTTCAAGTGCCAAGCCCAAGATAGTTGGCCATGGCAGCAAACCCATCTGCTGCCATGGTCTCCATGACTTGGTACAATTTGTATTCCACCAAGGCCATATCATTGAAACTGTTCCCCTATGCAGGGTGAATGACCACCTCTCTTAAACTATGGAAGCTGCTTCTAGTTATTGATCTTTCGGCTGCTTTGGATACCACACACCACTCCATCCTCTTGAATCGGCATGGCTACGCAGGCATCTCTCACACACATCCCTATTGCTTCTGCTTCACTATTTTTCCAATTAAGGACTGCCTTCCATTCAGAAGCCCCAATTCTATGGTGTTCCACATGACTCCATCCGTGGCTATCTGCTCTTGGCACAATGTCTCCTCCCTGTAGAAAAATTATCCTAATTTTTATTATCGACTATCACTGCTATTTCAAATGACACCCAGCCTTTTATTGGTATTGAATCATAAAACTGAACCTACTCTCTCCTCCACACCCTGACTCGGATTGGTTATAATTTCCTGCAGATTAAATGTAAAATTTGTAGCCCTCGTCATTTTGAAAAAAAGTCCACGTGAATTAATGACCCCGAGCATTTGATTCCTGAGAGTTTAAATAACATCAGATACAGAGGGATCACGGTATTTAACATTGCCCAAGTGGTGATCCACTGGGTTCAATGTTTCCTTGGAAAGCTGATGGAAGTTGTTGAGCAAATTTGTCATAGGAAATCGCCACTCTCCCCAAAGTAGTGGATGCCACAGTGGTTGCTGATGATGCAGTAGCCAGATTAGTTGAAGTTCAAGTGAACCTGCGATGCATCACGTGGGATGCTACGAGTTCTGTGATTCATGTGGCTGTTGTTGTGGCGGTGCAAGCACTGCATATTCTCTGCCTGCAGAGGGGACCGTGCCTTGTGTACTGCACTCCACCAGTGTAGTCCCATTGCTATGTGATGTAGGCCAGCTTGACATGGGAGAGGAAACACAGCCCCAATACCAGTGAAATATAAAAAGTTAAATTCAACATCCTAAACAACAAAAATAAATAATTGTAGGACAAGGCAGGATTGAAATTTACACCCAAATTGATGGAATTAATTTTTGATAATGATGATGTACACCGTAATGATAAATGTGGTGGTACTATCTTTTTCACAGGCAAAACATACAAGACAGGTGGTGAGGATATTTTTATCAAGATAAAAAATATATTTTACAAAGGTACAGTATTTCCAAAAATTGCATGTCTCGCATACATATCTGGAAAACTTCCATACAATAATTCGTGATATACATGATGCTGCTGAATTATCGAAGGTGAACGAATTCGCTACGCTTTTTTAATGATGTAGTTCCTTTTAAACATATTTGTCTGCTATAGGAATGTTTTTTGTGTATATGAAACTAATTTGTTAAATTATTTCTGTTTTATTTAGATAACTCTGGTGTATACAGAGAATTTTTGCTGAAGCTGACATCATTAACACAAGACTACAACGCACGACCTGGAGAACCTGCAGTGTTTTTGCTGGAGAGGATGGTGACGCCAATTCTGATTCCCTACTACCACCAGCAAGAAACCAAGGAGCACGAGTTACTAGCGAGAGGCAAGAAACACGAGGAGCTGATGAAGAGAGCACAGAGAGAAGGGATGACTTGCAATAATCTCTTTGATCCCATTGGTTACATTGGAGAAAAAAAACACCCCAGACTGGTTATTGTAGTGGGGATTCCAGGCAGCGGTAAAACCATGTTGAGCAAATTCATTGTGCACAGCTTGCTGTCAGGTGAGAAAGTGTTTGCACGCCGCTTTAAGCACATTGTGCTCATAACGTTCAGGGAGATAAAGGATGTTGGAGAGGTGTCACTCGCAGAGCTGTTTTCTGTGATGCACTCATGTTTGGGAAAGAAAGCAGATGAGGTTTTCACAAACCAAAAGAGAACCCTTTTTGTTATGGATGGGTTGGACGAGTTTGGAAAGTCCCTTCACTATGCCAATGCTTGCACTGATCCACGTAAGACGGCAACAGTAGAAGCCATCATTGCTGCCCTAGTGAATGGAAATCTCTTGCCCAAGGCCTCGGTCTTGATAACGACCAGACCCATTGCCATGCAGCAGCTGAGGGAAGTGAATGTTGATCGAGCTGTTGAAATCACTGGGTTTTCCAACGAAGATAAAATAGCATTCTTTAACAAATTTGACCAAGATAGGAGTCTAGCAGAAAGGGCACTCAAGCTCCTGCAGGAAAATGAAACAGTGAATACATTGTGCCAGAACCCTTCATTCTGCCATATAGCAGCCATTACACTGAAGGAACATTTACAAAAGTCGGATCATTCTGAGATTATCCTCAAATCAATGACCGACCTCTTCACACAATACGTGTTTGGGCTCATAGAACACCGTGGACGTGGCAGCCGCGGAGCCAAGGAAATTGTATCGTCTCTTGCCAATATTGCTCTGAAGGGGGTTCAGCAAAATATCCAGATATTCAGCCAAAAAGATCTAGAAGAGTGTGTTGTTAGTTCTTATGAACTTGGAAGTACATTCATCAACAAAGTGTTCACATGTGAGGGCATTAAACAAGGGAGTTGCTATTCATTTTCACACTTGACAATGCAGGAATTCTTTGCAGCTATAGCTGTGCATCTGTCACATTCAACACGGCCAGTGAGTGACATCGTCAAAGCTATTGAGGACAGCAAAGATGGGAGGTTTGATGTGTTTCAGAGGTTTTTTTGTGGACTAGCATCAAGCACTCCATGGAAGGTCTTTGAGGGTATCTTGGATCCTCCATCTGCAGATTCTCAAAAGGAAATAATCGAGTGGCTCAATCGCAGCATGAAGACTCAGAAGGTTGACAAACACAGGTTCATCAGTCTCCTGCACTGCGTGCACGAGCTGCATGACCGCAAGTCCCTGAGTGATGCCACTCGGTCCATGACTGAGATAGACCTGTCAAGGACAAGGCTGTCCCTGCCAGACTGCGCTGCCATCTCCTGGATCCTGCTGCAACGAGAAGAACCTGTGAAGACACTCAACCTGTCGGGCTGCGGCATCGGCACCGAGGAAATGAAGAGGCTTCAGCCTGAACTGGACAGATGTAAAAGGCTACTGTAAGACTTGCACACCTCGCATTCACTCCTTCACAAATTGTGCGTACATATATGTTTTTTGTGTGATATCAACTCATCTTCAAATGAGTACCAGGTGCAGCGTGTAAAACATCGCTACTCGGGAGATAACGGCGGCCGGGCGTGATGCTGGCCACCCACCCCATCATATGCCATGCCTGCCTTCATAGGTGCTCCCTAACAGCACTTTCCCCAGGAGTCTGTTAAGGCTATACGGCAGATCTTTGTCTCTAAGAATCCTCACTTAGTAACGGTGCACACAAAGAGTAGAATGTAACCTCATATTCACGTAACACTCGGTCTTGCATAGCCCACGCATGAATACAACTTTTGACAAAAGTCTTCCCCTTGCCACTGCCATCATTCTCCTCACTCCTCTCCCCGCACACCACGCTCACCCCTCCCCTTATGCCTCCCATTAACCCCCCGATCTGCTCCTGCCTTCACTTTTCCCATAATCCCTCCCCCACCCTTGCTCATCCCTTAACTCTTCTCCCCCCATACCCATGCCCACTCATCCACTGAGGGGGGGTAATGTTTGGTGAGTGAGTGCATGCCTACTTGAGTTGGTGGGTGGATCGATGAGTGGGTATGTTGAGTTACGTAAGGATGTGAGTGAGTTGGTGGGTCAGTAGTGTGTGAGTGCGTTGGTGAATGAGTGAAATAGTGCGAGTGGTTGAGTAAATGTGTAGTGAGTAGGTGGTTCCACAGTGAATGCTGCAGTCGCTGTACATTAAAGTATTAAAGGAAGAAAAGGTATGCATATGCATGGTTGCTTTTAAGCTTTCCATCATCTTCAGCAACATTTAATTATCGATAATGATAGACCTCACACTAGGTGCAGAAAGTGAGGTGACCGTAGGCCACACTGAGAAAATGGAGCCTTGATAACGACTCTGCAATGGAGAGTGAGGGTACCGTTTTGATCCACGTGGCCAATTCAAGCCCCTGGTTCACAGTGGATCATGGCAAGTGATGGTGCCCCCCACTACAGAATCAGAATCAGAAAGGGTTTTATTCGCCATGAAAGTTCACACCGACATGGAATTTACTTTGGCAGGATGGTGCATACATTCAACATATAGGAATCTAAAATCTTACTATAATAAGGGTTAAAAGTCTAACTAACACCAAGGGGCTGAAGTATATAAAATTGAATAAATATCTAATATAAAATAGCTTTAAGATATAATATAAAAAGAAAAAATACAAATAGGTTAACATAGTTAATATCGGCAAGGTGTCATTATGTTGATAAAATGTTAACATCAGTGTAAGCCCTTGGCCTTGTTTAACAGGCCAGCAGCAGATGGGAAGAAACTGTTTTTATGGCGTGAGGTTTTGGTCCTGATGGACCGAAGCCTTCTGCCAGTAGGGAGTCGCTAAAACAGAGAGTGTCCAGGGTGGGAGGAATCGGCCACAATCTTCCTCGCTCGCCTCATGGTCCTTGTCGTGTGCAGGTCCTCGAGGGTTGGTAGATTGCAGGCAATTACCTTCTCAGCAGTGTGGATGATACGCTGCAGTCTGCTCTTGTCCTTGGCAGTGGCAGCAGCGTACCAGACGGTTATGGAGGAGGTGAGGATGGATTCAATGATTGCTGTATAGAATTGCACCATCATTGTCTTTGGCAGGTTGAATTTCTTCAGCTGCCATTGAAAGTACATCCTCTGTTGAGCTCTCTTGGTGAGGGAGCTGATGTTCAGTTCCCACTTGAGGTCCCGGGAGAGAATAGTGCCCAGGAAGCAGAAGGACTCTACAATTTTGACTGGGGAGTCTAACAGGATGATGGGGGTGAGTGGGACTGTATTCTTCCTGAAGTCCACAACCATCTCAACTGTCTTTAGAGCATTTAGCTCTAAGTTGTTCTGGCTACACCAGGTCACCAGGTTGTCAGCTTCCCACCTATAGTCAGACTCATCCCCACCAGAGATCAGCCCAATGAGGGTGGTGTCGTCCGCCAATTTCAAGAGTTTGACGGACAGATGATTGGAGGTGCAGGTGTTGGTATACAGGGAGAAGAGCAGTGGGGAAAGGACGCAGCCCTGAGGAGTTCCGGTGCTGAAGGACCTGAAGTCAGAGACTTGTGTTCCCAGCTTAACGCACTGCTTCCTGTCAGACAGGAAGTCTGTGAACCACCTGCAGGTAGAGTAGGGCACGTTCATCTGGAAGAGCTTGTCCTGAAGCAGGGCAGGGATGATGGTGTTAAAGGCAGAGCTGAAGTCCACAAACAGGATCCTAGCGTAGGATGCTGGGGCGTCAAGATGCTGTAGGGTGAAGTGGAGGGCCATGTTAACTGCGTCGTCCACAGACCTGTTGGCTCTGTAGGCAAACTGAAGGGGGTCCAGGAGAGAGTCTGTGATGGCTTTGAGGTGTGCCAGGACCAGGCGCTCAAAATACTTCATTACCACAGATGTAAGGGCGACCGGTCTGTAATCATTTAGTCCTGTTGGCCTTAGCTTTTTGGGCACAGGGATGATGGTGGAGGACTTGAGACATGCTGGTACATGGCATGTCTCCAGGGAGGTGTTAAAGATGTTGGTGAACACCGGAGACAGCTGGTCAGCGCAGTGCCTGAGGGTGGCTGGAGAGACAGAGTCTGGCCCGGCTGCTTTGCGTGGATTCTGCCTCTTGAAAAGTCTATTAACTTCTCCCTCCTGAAAGGAGAGAGTCGTCTCTGTAGTATGGGTGGGGGATGGGGCCTCTTGGGTGGGAAGGGGTGGTTCAGGACAGTCCAATTGTCTTTCAAATCTGCAGTAGAACTCGTTCAAGTCGTTGGCTAGGCCGGAGTCGTTAGTGGTGTGGGGGGCTCTGGGTTTGTAGTTTATGATCTGCCTGAGCCCTCTCCAGACAGAAGCAGAGTCGTTAGTAGAGAACTGGTGTTTTAGTCTCTCTGAGTACAGTCGTTTAGCCTCTCTCATCACTTTGCTAAACCTGTTCTTCGACTCCTTGAATCTGTCTCTATCCCCACTCCTAAACGCTTCCTCCTTCTCCAACCTCAAGCATCTGAGCTTTGCTGAGAACCAGGGCTTGTTGTTGTTAAAGTTCACCCTGGTACGTGTTGGGATACAGCAGTCCTCACAGAAGCTGATGAAGGACGTCACAGCCTCTGTGAGTTCATCCAGACTATTGGTAGCAGTCGTGAACATATCCCAGTCAGTACAGTCTAAGCACGCCCGCAAATCTTCCACAGCCTCACTGGTCCACTGTTTAGATGTCCTCACAACAGGTTTACAGAGTTTTAGTTTCTACCTGTATGCAGGAATCAGGTGGACCATGGCATGGTCAGAGTGTCCTAGTGCTGCTCGGGGGATGGCGTGGTAGGCTCTACTGACTGTAGTGTAGCAGTGATCCAGAGTGTTCCCTTCTCTGGTTAGGCATTTAATGAATTGTATGTATTTGGGGAGTTCGTGGCTGAGATGACCTTTGTTAAAGTCGCCAAGTACGATAACCAACTAATCTGGATTTGCTCGCTCCACACTCAGAATCTGATCGGCGAGCATGCGTTGGGCCTCTTTAACCTGAGGACACGGCGGCAAATAAACTCCGACTAAAATGAGCGACGCGAACTCGCGAGGCGAGTAAAACGGTTTACAGGTTATAAAAATGGATTCAAGGAGTGAAGAACAATGTTGCAGAATCACTGTGACATCTACACACCAGCCACTGTTAATGTAAAAACAAATACCACCGCCTTTCGTCTTGCCGGAGAGTGCTATGTCACGATCCGATCTTACAAGATGGAATCCTGCTAGTTGTAGCGAAGTGTCCGGAATCAAATCACACAGCCATGTCTCCGTGAAGCACTAAACAGAAGATGAAAGAAAGTCTTTGTTTTTTACCATCAGTAGCTGAAGTTCATCCATTTTGTTGTACAGTGAACACACGTTGGAGAGGAAAAAGCTCGGAAGCACTGTTCGGATCCCGCATCTGCGTAGCCGTACAAGAGCCCCCGACCGTTTACCCCTTGGGCGGCGTTTCGCTGCTTGAGCAAAGCCTAGCGCGGCATTGACTAGAATGCCTACTAATTCTGCCGCTGGAAGCAGAAACGTAGGAATTAAATCCACAGGAGTTGTTTCCCTGATATTTAAAAGTTCGTCTCTTGTTAGAGAACTCAGAAAATCTTGGCAAAACACTGAATTGACAGACAAAACAAGACAAAACAGGGCGCGCCGACCGGCTGAGGCTACCATCATCGGCGCCATATTCTCACCAGCACGGGTGTGATGAACAGCAGGCCCCTCTCACCAGCACGGGTGTGCTGAACAGCAGGCCCCTCTCACCAGCACTGGTGTGCTGAACAGCAGGCCTCTCTCACCAGCACAGGTGTGATGAACAGCAGGCCTCTCTCACCAGCACGGGTGTGCTGAACAGCAGGCCCCTCTCACCAGCACGGGTGTGTTGAACAGCAGGCCCCTCTCACCAGCACGGGTGTGATGAACAGCAGGCCTCTCTCACCAGCACGGGTGTGTTGAACAGCAGGCCCCTCTCACCAGCACGGATGTGATGAACAGCAGGCCTCTCTCACCAGCACGGGTGTGTTGAACAGCAGGCCTCTCTCACCAGCACGGGTGTGCTGAACAGCAGGCCCCTCTCACCAGCACGGGTGTGTTGAGCAGCAGGCCCCTCTCACCAGCACGGGTGTGATGAACAGCAGGCCTCTCTCACCAGCACGGGTGTGTTGAACAGCAGGCCTCTCTCACCAGCACGGGTGTGCTGAACAGCAGGCCCCTCTCACCAGCACGGGTGTGATGAACAACAGGCCCCTCTCACCAGCACAGGTGTGCTGAACAACAGGCCCCTCTCACCAGCACGGGTGTGATGAACAGCAGGCCCCTCTCACCAGCACAGGTGATCAAGCAAAACAAGACAAAACTGGACAAAACAGGGCGCACCAACCGGCCGAGGCTGCCATCATCGGCGCCACCCACCACAGCAGCTACAGAGACAGGTGATAGGTAATGGGTGTTAATCTTAGTTGTAAAGCATAAAAGAGACAAAGATCCCTCAAGTGGCCCATACAAACTGTTGGGGAAAAGGAAGCCAGTGACAGAGAACAAACACACACAACTACACTGCACTTTAGAACACAAAAACAATCTCCCCGTGGAACCTGCATACACTTTTGAGGCAAGTGCTGATCGCAATTCCCTGACTAGCACCGTCCTTGGCTGTCTTTCTCTCCCCATTGCTGATGTTTACACACCATACCAGGTACTCATTTAAGGCTGAGTCACCCTAGGGGAGTTCCAGGAGCAGATTTTTATCACTCACCACTGATTATGTTACCAGATATTGAACCCAGATCACTTCGTTCGTAGTGGAATGTGCCAACGACTTTCCCACCATTCCCATAAAGGCATAAAAATATGCGATGAAAGACACTCATATACACACACAGACATGTACACACACAAACGTACACAATGTACATATAAACTCACGTACTCCTACACATGTACAAGTACAGCCTTTGGTCACTCCACTGCTGGATAAAGCACTTCCACACCATGCAGGTCTTGGGGGTTATTTGACCAGACATCACCACTCTTGTCAGTGTGGGTTGGGGTAGAGCATAGAGATGAATGTTGTTCCATTGCCATAACGCAGCTCTGCAGGCTACAACACCTGTTCTTATGCATGTTAGTCTTGGGTAGAAGCACCATCCAGGCTCGAGCCTATTTAGATTTTCAGATTTTTTTTTAGATCCTACATGTACACTCTCAAATATTAATATACACACACTTAGTTTCAGTTTCATTTTTCAGTTTAATTTATTTGGTATAGCCCTGTGAGCCGTTTGGCTCTTAAATCGGGTGCAACCGCAACAAAACAAAAAACAAAAACATGAACAAGAAAACATCTTAAAGTGACTTGCACATGTACATATACACTAATATCCATATACACGAATACTTGCACATTACTACACACTCACACACACTTATACACACCCCTGTTTGAGTCTGCAGTTTTAATGTGACAGTATTTTTTTACATTAAAATGAATGCAAGCAATCGTCATATAATAAGGATTCACATTCATGAAGCGCAATTCGGCCAGTGATCTGAGTGCACCATGGACAAATTAGTTAATATACGCATGTGCAGGGAGTCCCAGGTTTACGGAAATCCGAATTTACAGAAATGCTCCCATGAATCGTGTAATAAAACTCAACGTGTGGAAATGTTAGCGGTAGTTACATAAGTACAACTAGTACAGCACGTTGAGGTTGCGGTCGTCTCCTGCGGAGCGAGGCTTAAGCCCCGCCTCAACCAAAACGCCGCCTTCACCGAGCCCGAGCTTCACAGGATTAAGGTATTTTTTTATATCATTACGTAATTATTTTCCTTAGGTAGCATTACGTAATTGCTTGTTGTCTATGCTTAGAACTATACATCCCCATGTTTATATTGCTGGTTTGAATTTTAAGTTTATTTCATGAGTTATTTACTTTAGTTCCTGTGTGTGTGTAGGTTTGTAGACGAGGAGTGGTAGTGTCGTGATTAGCGCGACGCTGCGCTATGAACCCGGCGTCCTGGGTTCGATTCCCGCTCACGGCCAACACCGGTGCCAATTATCTGAACCGGACCTGGGCCTCCCTCTAGATCGACTCGGCCTCAAATGAGTACCTGGTGCGGTGTGTAAACATCACTGGGGAGACAAAGGCGGTCGGGCGTGATGCTGGCCACCCACCCCCTCGTGTGCCGTTCTGGCCTTCATACAGTAGGTGCTCGCTAACAGCACTTGCCCCTACAGTCTGTTAAGGCTACACGGGGGATCTTTGTTTTTTTTGTAGAGGAGGTCTTGCAAAACAAGACCCTTGTAAACACAAACACGTTTCAGATTATAAAGGTACAGTGCAGTATAAATGAATGGATGATTGTGAGTAAATATTTGTGAATGCCACAAATATCATATGCTTCTGTGTTATACATGAAACAATGAGCAGCTTTGCTCATGAACGTGTGTGCTGTGGTCACGTGCACCGCCATTGTGAGTGTCCCTCACTCACCGCGTGTTTGACTCCGCGGTTCCCGTGGGCTCAGTGAGTCAGCGCTGTCCCTTCTCCCGTCCACCCGGGTTTAGGTTGAGTCTCAACGAGATCAGAGACAGCGGCCTCCGACTTTTAGCGGACGGGATGTTGGGAAGAGAAGGGAGTTTGGAGACGTTAGCGTGAGTGTCCTGATGCACACACACACATATAAGCACACCTAAACAAATATACACACACATATTCATAATAAAGGTTTTTGGGTTAGATCGCGTTTATTTATAAATGTGTCGTAACCCTCCACCACCCGACACGGCCAATCAGCAAAAAAAGTGTCACGTTGACAAAAGACAAATAATTCACTAATTTAGCCCACCGGTGTGTTGAAGAGTGAATCCACATTTACAGTTTGAGTACGACGTTTCGCTGGTAAATACATCCAGCATCATCGGGCAATTCGCCAGAATGGTAAAGCCCTCGCTTGCTCCCGGTTTTATATAGAGCAGCAGGGTGACGTCATCACTTAACTCATATCAGGTGCAGTGATTAGAGGCAGAGGGGGGGGGTATTGTAATTATATAATCGATTAGTAATCAGTCATTGGTTATGATTAGTAATGAGTTGTAGATTAGTAATTCTTTAAATCAAAATGTAATGTGTATTATTTAATAATACGCTTCCAGGCTGCACTAAGCCGGTAGCTGTCAGAGCGATTAAAGTTATTCTTGTTCCTCTCAATTTCAATGGATTCTCTAATTAGTCTTTGCCAGTAATAATTAGTTCTACACACCACTGCAACATTGTCAAAATCAATTGCGTGTCCTTGTTGACAAGCATGTTCTGCCACTGCCGACAGTTGTGTTTGAGATAATTTAATATTTCTCTGATGTTCTTTTAGTCTTACGCTGATGTTACGTCCCGTCTGCCCAATGTAGTAGCTGCCACATGAACAATTAATCCGATATACACCTTCTGTTGATAGTTTAGGTAATGCGTCTTTAGTGCAAGATACTAATTTTTGAATTTTGTGTACTGTACCAAATCTTACTGTAATGTTTTGCTTTTGCAAAACACGAGCTAATTTGTCAGTTACTCCTGAGATATATGGACTTTTTATTGTTTTAACAATCTGGTCGCTTTCAGCAGTATTGCTTTGTGATCGTGATTTGGCATTCAGTGTTCTGTTAATTTGAGCATTATTGTAGCCATTCTGTCGTAGTGCGTCTTTAACGTGTTTAATCTCTCTCACTAGACTCTCACCATCTGACACTGTTTAGGCCGATGTATGAGCGTCTTGATAAGAGAGGATTTCTGAGCTGGATGATGATGTGATTCTGCATTCAGATAGGCACCAGTGTGCGTTTGCTTTCTGTAAACGCTGTGTTATTTTACCGTTTAGGCCATGTCCAAGCAAAATATCTAGGAATGGGAGTGTGTTATTCACCTCCATTTCCATGGTGAACTGGATGGCCGGGTTTTGTGCATTGAGATGATTTAGAAAATCATTAAGTGTATCTTTACCATGTGGCCAGACAACCAAAGTGTCATCCACATACCTAAACCAAAAGGATGGTTTTAATGTGCTCGAGGCAAGTGCTCTTATTTCAAAGTTTTCCATGTACAAATTTGCTATAGCAGGGGATAAAGGAGAACCCATTGCTGCTCCTTCCTTTTGTTTAAAGAAATCCCCTCTCCATAAGAAGTAAGTGTTATTTAAACAATGGCCAGCAAGTTTCGGAATATCTTTTGGTAAACCGGTATTCTTTACTAGTGTATCAAGTAATTTAAGCGATTCGTCCACTGGAACCTTAGTGAATAGAGAAATCACATCAAAACTTACCAGAATATCATCAGGAGTAAGTTTAATATCGTTAATCACATTCACAAGATGTTCTGAATTTTTTATGAATGAAGATGTCTTACCGATGTAGGGCTGTATTTGTTTGGTTATATATTTTGCTAATTGATATGTGGCAGAGCCAATTGTACTGACTATGGGTCGTAATGGGATGCCGATTTTATGAATCTTTGGTAGCCCATAGAGTCTAGGTGGTTTTGAGGCCCTTGGCTTAATTAGGTATTGCTCATTTTTAGGGATTAATGAATTTGCAATTATTGCAGTGGTCTTACGTTCTAAAGTATTAGTTGGATCTATTAAATAATACACATTACATTTTGATTTAAAGAATTACTAATCTACAACTCATTACTAATCATAACCAATGACTGATTACTAATCGATTATATAATTACAATACCCCCCCCTCCGCCTCTAATCACTGCACCTGATATGAGTTAAGTGATGACGTCACCCTGCTGCTCTATATAAAACCGGGAGCAAGCGAGGGCTTTACCATTCTGGCGAATTGCCCGATGATGCTGGATGTATTTACCAGCGAAACGTCGTACTCAAACTGTAAATGTGGATTCACTCTTCAACACACCGGTGGGCTAAAGTAGTGAATTATTTGTCTTTGTCAACGTGACACTTTTTTTGCTGATTGGCCGTGTCGGGTGGTGGAGGGTTACGACACATTTATAAATAAACACGATCTAACCCAAAAACCTTTATTATGAATAATATTGGTCGCGAAAGCCTACGTGTTAAACATACACACACATACAGACACAAAACACAAAGATACTCAGTATAACATAATAATGTTGTATTTTAACGTCTATTATAACTTTGTTTTTATGCACTCGTCAAATAAGTTATTAGCCACACTTATTACAGCACTTTTAACCACTATTAACAATACAATTACAATTATCACATTACCTACTATAACCAATGATATTGTTTCAAATTATATTATGGTAATACAGTAGATCGTCGATTATCCGGCAGTCAGAATTTCAAAAGCACCAGATAATCGCATCATTATTTAAAATGGCTTATTTTTGCATATTCTTAAATAAGATTATATTTTTAGGTGCTCTGTATATTTAGTGTTATTAAATAGTTTGCGAAATAAAAATCGCTTAACTAAATATACAAAGACAAAATGAATATTCTGCTGTAAAAAGTTACTATTTACTGTACCGCACTCACCACTCCAATATCGAAGACTCTGCATGGGGTGATGTGCGTACTAGGATATTGTTCAACAACCTGTGTTTGACAACAACTTGTGTTTGACAACTTGTTTTTGAGAACAACTTGTGTTTGACAACAACAACTTGTGTTTGACAACAACAACTTGTGTTTGACAACAACAACTTGTGTTTGACAATCGTCAGACTGATTCTGATCGGTGCTCTGGCGAACGCCGAATTGCACGCAATTTTCGGCGGATCGCGCTGTATATTTTCTGTTTCTATGACTAGTTATTAGTCATGAAAAATGTATATAAGTGCAGTATTTTCATTGTTTAAGTTGTATGTAGTGTATAATGTATTGTATATATTATTTGACGTGGAAATGGGAGGATCTTCTGAGGAAATTAGGAATGAGAGGATATGGGAAGAGTTGTAGTGGAAATGCCGTATTGCAGGCCATGTGCTAAGTTACCTTGTCCTCAGACCGTTGCCACTGGGGGTGTCCTTTCAATTACATTGTGATGAGATGATCAATTAAACGCTTTCAGATGTAACCGCTTATAGGATGATGCAATATCGAAAATAAATCATGAGTATTTGATCTATATATACATACACAGAGATTCTACAGAGAGCCTTTAGCAGACTTTTCGGTCATAACCTGTTCGGGAACACCTAATTAAGACCAGAACGGCACATGAGGGGTTGGGAGGCCAGCACCACACTCAGCCAACTGATGTTTACTTACTACACCAGGTAGTAATTTAAGGCTGAGTCGACCTAGGTGAGGTCCACGGCCGTTTTAGATATTCATCAATGAAGTTAGCCATGAGCGGCAATCGAACCAGGTTTGTGGCTCACTGTGCTAACCACTGCACCACTACTTCCCATGCGCATGCACACAAATATGCATGCACTATGATACACAAGTACCAACATGCGCAGATATGGACTAACGCAAATATACACATAGTAGACATTCACACACATCACGTTAAACCCAAAAACCTAAACAGCAGTTGCTATTTGCAAGCTCCTATTAAACTTGACATGAGGTGAATTTGTGCACAGCCTCCACAAACACGACCCTCAACCACTGTCCCATCAACCACCACCACCACCCCTCACCATCCCCCACTCTGTACCCAGACCTTCCACCCATCCCCTCTGCCCCGACTAGCCACCTCTTCTCTTCCTGCAGTCTGTATCAGTGTTCACTGACGGACAAGTCGGGTTCCTCTCTCAGTGTCATCCTCAAGGCCAACACAGGATTGAAGATTCTCGAGTAAGCTTTGCTGTTCGTTTCTCACATGTGCTCTGTTCACAAACTGTGCCGATTATTGGTGCAACGCGTCGTGAAGTAAACATTTAAATGTGAACACATTTTATCTTGCTGTCCTGCTTAATCAAGTCCACTTGCAAAATGTTTTACTGTAATCTTAACACATTTGTTTAATTTAACACATAGGCTAAAGCAATATTCATACT